GTTCACATTTTTTCAAAGGTTTTCTCATCCTACTCTTCCTTCCTTTTTAAAATGTATATGCATTCTTTTAGTTTGTTTGTTTTTGAGACAGAATTTCTCTGTATAGACCAGGCTGGCCTTGAACTCAGAGATTCACTTGTCTCTGCCTCCTAAGTGCCAGAATCAGTGGTACGTGCCGCCACACCCAGTTAACGTAGACACATTTTACTACACCGGAGTTCAATTCCTTCCCTGCTGCTAATCTCCCCCGCCCTGCCCCTAGTTTCACACAATGGGAAACAACCCTGCCCTGAACTTCACTGCCATGGCCCTTTCTGGAGTGTGGGTGACTCTGAACAGATTCCTAGAGAAGCCTAAAGGGATGGGATCAAAGAGAACGAGCAGGTGCAGCCTTGCTGTGTGTGAGGTTATTTGTCGTCAGGGGACTCCAGGTGACACTTTGCGAGCTTCTGGCTACCTCCTGGCCATGCCGCTCTATGGATGAATGGTGTTGGTGTGTTTGAGCAGGCATGCTGGTGGGGAAGGGTAGGTGTGCTACGATCCTCATAAAAAACATGGTCGCATCCGCTCACTCCTTCTGACCACGCCCTTGCCTTTTGGCAGGTTGGTCTGCTAGTTGGACATTTTGTTTTTCTCACACTCTGTTAATGACGACTTAGCTCCTCAGACCCGGGCAAACACTCCTAGCATAGAGATTTGCAGGCTGGCTCAGCAGCCTGGGCTCCATTATGGTATTTTATTCGCCCTTCAGCCAAGCTCTAGCCTCTTCAGCAGGGACATTGCCATGGCAACCTCCCTTCTCAGGGCAGTAACTATGGGTGGTAAGTCCTACATGCTTAATATGTTTGATATTTTACCTTCAAAATATTCCGTAGGGGAAGTTCAAATTGGCTGCTGAACAAAATAAATAACATTTTTTTTTGTTGTTGTCAACAAAGGCGGCAGCTTTGATAACAGGAAAGGCCAGGACTGGTCAAAAGCCCGAAACCAGAGTGAGCCAGTCACTTCTAGCTGCACTTGAGACAAGAAAGGAATGGAGAAGCACTTAGTGCACAGGGACACTGACTCAGACCCAGATACTGTTAGAGCAACCTCAAAGTCAAGGGCTTCCAGGGATGAAGTAAGCCTGTTCCAGAGACAGCCTCAGGGCTGTCTGAGCTTTGCACTGCTTCCCCTGGAGGACACGGTGCATTTTCAGAGTGGGAGGGGGGAGTCCTGGGCTTTCCCTGCCCTTCAGAAGGGATCACACTATAGTTCTCTGTAGATGGAAGCCCTTAGAGGCGCGTGCACACACACACTGCAGAGCTTTATAGAGGCTGATTACGTTGGCTTGGGAGAGACAAGCTGGCCCAGCGTCCTCTTCCACTGCATTGTGTAATGTGCCATTACAATAGACTTGTTCTTATTCGGTGGTTTTTGAAAGCAGAGTATTAAAACTGAAAATCTGCAGCAGATTGCTTTAAGACGTAAAGTTTAAGTATTGTGCTCTGTGGTTTCACATTTCTTCTTCCCTTGTTTATTTCCCCCCTCTGCTCTTTTCTCCCTTCCTTCCTTTTTATGTGTATTTGTATTTTTCCCATTTGATGGCATCTCTATGGTGGAGCTGGGAGACAGTGTGGTATGGCAGAAGGCATGCCTTCCTCGTCATCGGCTGGGCAGTCTTGGTAATGCTGCCTTAGTTTTCCCATTGATTTTCCAGAGCACAGGACTTCCATGTTGAGACTAGCACAGCCCTGGGCATGATGGGACAGTTACTTTGGTGAAATAATGGACCTTTTCCCAACTTTGGTTTCTTTAACTGTAAAACAAAGATGACAACACCTCATGGGGGTAAGGAAAGGGTTAGGGTTAGGGCTAGGGCTCTTAGGTCTAGCATTAGTGTTAAGTCTAGGGCCTGGCTTAGAGCTATGGCTTGGGCTAGGGTTAGGGGTATGGTTAAGGCTAGGGTTAAAGCTAGGATTAGGATTAGGGTTAAGGTTAAAGTCAGTTTAGAAGTAGGTGTAGCAGTATGGTAAGGTTAGGGATTATTAGGGTTAGGTTTAGGGCCAGACCTAGGTTTTACTCTAGGTTTGAACTGCAACTAAGTGGACCAGACTGGTCTTGAACCCTCAGAGGTCTGCCTTCTTTTGCCTCCAGAGTGCTGGGATTGAAGGCATTCACCACTACACCTGTTTAAAAACTTCATTCTTATTGAATAAAGAAGAAAACTGTATCTCTAACTAGAAGCAAACAACATATTTCCAGGGCATTTTCCAATCTACTCTTTAAAGATCCACTTTGGAAAAAAAAACCATTAAATATATTTAAAATTTTATATTTTGCTTACATGTATGTGTGACATGGGTGTGTGTGTTTGTGTTTGCCTCTCTCTCTCTCTCTCTCTCTCTCTCTCTCTCTCTCTCTCTCTCTCTCTCTCTCTCTCTCTCTCTCTCTCTGTGTACAGGTATATGGAGGTTTACAATTACCTCAGATGTCTTCCCCAATTGCTTTCCATTGCATTTACTGGGGCAGTACTTCTCGCAGAACCTGGAGTTTGCTAATTTCAGCTTGTTTAAATAGCCAGCTTGTCTGGGGGCGGGGTACCCCATTTCTGCCTTTGGGGTACTGGAATTACAGGGAAGCCATAATATTGCTTGGCTCTTGTTGTGGTTCTGGGGATCCAAACTCAGGTCTGCACAGTGTCTGTGCTGGTACAGTCAGTGCTTTATCTGCTGAGCCATCTCCCTAGCTCTCCTAAGACATCTTACTAGTTCTTATAGCTGTATCATAACTTATTTACATATAAAAACTATTTTAAGGCTTCAACTTTTTGGTTGACCCAATTACACCATTTTAAACAATAAGTTCACTATATTTTTTCCTTAGGAGATTTTTTTTTTTGAATTGGGTCTTGCTGTCCTGTGATGATATCCAGGTTGGTATAAAATTCACAGCTTTCCCATTCTTGCCTCCCGAGTGTTAGGATCACAGACGTGTACCACACAGCTGGCTGAAACATTATCTTCAGTTTCTGATTCCCTACATGCTCATTTCACGTTTTCTTGGGACATTAGGAATAGAACACCCTGTTCCTTTTACACTCTGGATTGTGAGGTGTTGAAAATCTGCCTGACTGAAGCTGGCAGGAACAGGGTGCTTCAAAACCATTCCCGAGGCGTGCATGCATGCAAATGCTTAAGAATAGAAAAATCAAAGGAATGATGGTCCTTGAGGAAGACCCTGAAATCTTGCTGTGTGCACGCGTGAGTGCGTGTGCTTGTATGGGCGATTCCGGATGACTGTCTAGAGGCTTTGGGCCTCTCAGACTGGTCACAGCCTGGTGACTGATTCTCTAGGAGGTCAGCAAAGAAAGAAAATGTAAAAATATGTTATAAATAATTTTAATTGATCCTGCAAGCACTAAATGATATACCTGAGAACTATTTCACCCCCTTCATCCTTCCCCTTTCTTTTATTCCTCTCTTTCCCCCTTTCCCTTTCTTTCTGCTTTGTTTTTGGCGCTGGGGACTGACTCAGGGCCTCACGCATGCTCACTGTGCTCACCCAGGGCCTCACGCATGCTCAGTGTGCTCTCTACCACTGGGTTACACTCTTAGCCCTGAGGATCATCTTTAACTACTCTTATAATTTCATGTACTTAAAACTGAATGTAAAGTTTTAAAATTGTAATTGTTTTATCTTGATCTTTGTCACTTTTCTTTGAGAACTCGGAGACTCTCTCAGGCCCACTTTTCTCTACCATACGCTGTTTGGTTATTAGGGAGCTCAGGAAGTTAGAATTCTGAAATTTTCCATGTAGTTCAGGTCCAGTCTAAGGAGAAAGAAATGAAGCAACCACACTCATGCCCAGACCATCGACCCTGGTGAGAATTAGTGAGTCAAAAAGCAAAAAGAATATAAAAAGATGTGAACGTTGGATGGGCACTTGCCGGGAAGGGGGTCAGGGAAAGTGGGAGGAGAGAGAGAGAGGGGGTAGGGGAGGAGTGTGACCAGAATGTATTACATATGTATATGCAACTGTTGATTATAAAAAGGTTAATCATAAAAATAAATTTAAAGAAATGATGCAAGCAACATCCTCAGGACACAGCCTTCATGGCCATAGCAAGTCTGCATCTTGACTGGGCATCCTGGGCTTGGCTAAACTCGGTGCCCATGTTCCAGCTACGGAAGTGGTTTGGGGATGGGGAATAATTCAGAGTCCAGTGGATTTTGTCAGGATTCATTCTCCTGTGCAGGAAAGGCTTTCTGCCTGTAGTTTGATCAGTGCTCCCTACCATCCCGTTAGACCATCTTCTCAGGAAACAGAGCAACAAAGAAGGGAAGAAAACTGAGATGCAGGAACAGAGTAAGAGTCTTGCTCTTGTCCCACAATGTAGCTATGCCTGAGCCAATCTTGGCTTCAGGTAGCCCAGTTATAAGTCTTCAAGTTGTGTAAGTGTGCACCAGTCCCTCACAAGGCCCTGTACTTCATTATTACTGCGTCTTTAGTATCCACAGTTTATGGATAAGGGACCTGAGACTTGGGGAGGTGAGACACTTTGCTTAGTCTCCTAGCTGGGAAGTGGTACGACCCAAGGTGGAGAGGGAGCTGTTCTGATTTTGCAACTCATTCCGTTTCTCTCACCTAGATACAGCGACTACAGCTTGGCATGCTTCTGTCTTAACCCTAGGTCAAGAGGGCAGCCCTGGCTCTCTTGTTTCACAGAGCCAATGATGTTAGGCACTTTAGTTTGGTGTACCCGTGGTCAAACAGGATAAACGGGTTACCTGGACCCCGTCCTTCACTCCTGGTCATTCTGAGAACCTCATTTAATTTAAGGCTTCTGAACTCTCAGACGCCATTAGCCAGAATGGACCCAGACCTAACTGGCCTCCAGGCATCTGGGCTTCTGCAAGCTGAAGCAATTCTGGAAAGATGCATTCAGCTTTGAAAGCATTGAAAGTTCTTATGTCCACATCTCAAAGCTTAGGGGAAAAAAAGAACAGACTTATTCAAATGGAAGTTAACAGTGTTTTTAATATTTAAGTAACAAAACATGGAGGTTAATACTCAATGCATACAATAAGGCAGAGCAATAACAAAAAGATGACAGAGTAAAGTCTATAGGGAAGCTTTTAAACAGTCCTGTGTCAAGCCGGGTGGTGGTGGTGGCAGCAGTGGTGGCCCACGCCTTTAACCCCAGCACTCGGGAGGTAAAGGAAGGTGGATGTCTGAATTTGAGGCCAGCCTGGTCTACAGAGCAAGTTCCAAAACAGACAAAGATACAGAGAAACGCTGTCTTGAAAAAACAAAACAAAACAAAAAACCCCCCAAAAAAAACCAAAACAACCAATGACATGTTAGAGAACTACTAACTGAAAACAGCTGAGTCTCACTGCCTCCAACCTGGCTGGGGATTTTCTGGTGAGTGGGTAGTTGGGGCTGAGGGGAAGAAACTCACTGTGTTCGTGGTCTCAAAGGGATGACCTTCTGTTTGGACCCCAAGAACCTCAATGACCTCCATGCCTTCAACAGCTCATTTCCACCTCCTCCTCTCCCTCCTCTCTTGAATTGTTTGATCTGTCCATTTCTTAGCCACCTCTAACAATGAGTTTTAGGAGGGCCCTCTTCAATGTAGCCTAAAACCACCGGTGTCCCAGTGGGAAGAACTCTGTGCGTTACCCTGGAGACAGCCTGAGTATTCTCTGACCCCCTGGAGGTCACTTTTATCTGCACTATTAATGTAAGAACTGCCCTTTCCTCTATAACAACGCCTCGGCCAGGCTCCTACAGCACCATTGCTGTTCTGGGCTTGGGTGGGTTTTAGTGAGCATCCTTATCTCCATTTCCTGGGAGCCTATTCCAGCTGCATGCTGGGCTGGAGTTCGTGTTTTCTCCTACAAGCACAGAGAAGGGTGCGGCTCACATATTAATGCCCGGTGCAACTGTCAGAACCACAGAAACTGACCACAGGGTCCAGGAAGTGCCACTGTTCACTGGCAGGGACTGGAAATGTGCCAGTGAAGAGGCACAGGCTAAGTAGTCTTTTTGCAAAAAGAACCAGTTTTAAGCTACTCTCTAGGATTTGGAATTTGACTTTTTAAAAACAAGGGCCGTACTTAGGTTATGGAGATCTCAAAAGAAAACAATTAGGATCAGAAAGCTTTTCATGATGTTTGGATTTATGTAGAACCTTATTGAGTACAATATAGACAATAGCAAGGAATGATCCCCACCCCCAGATATTTCTATATGTAAGGGTGAGGCCAATTCACAGAGATATTATATGACATTTTGCTAATGTATTATTTATTATAACTGTATATAGAACTCAGGTTACCAAAAAAAAAATCCACTTCTTTGTCGCCTAAGGAAAATTTCTGAATTCTGACAGAAGAAGGACCCCAGGTGGAAAGTTCTGGCACTGTCTAGTTGAAATCAACAGAGGCCAAGAGAAGTAGCTGGCTTGCCTCACCTGAAAACCCCTGTGGCTGATAACGTGTGAGATCACATCGCCACATGAGCAGAGGTTGGGGAGACTGCAACTGTCTCTCCTCTATTGTTATCTTTTTAATCAGTGTTCACTATGATTATTAGTCAAGTTGGGGTGGGCAAGGCAAAACTAGTATGAAATAATGCCCTTTAATCCATTTTTTTCCCTTTAAAAATTTTACTTAGGGGGTCAAGTTGGGAAATAGATTCTCAACAGGTTTAGTAAATATGAGAGGGAAAGGCTGTCTAAGTAATCAAGTAATTTGTCAGTGTGTCAAGTTACATTCTAAGTCTACAGCGAAAGGCCGAGGACTGGGATAAGTGAGTGGTTATGACCTCTAACTCATAAACGATAGCTCAGCTGTTTTGTGATAGACTGTTTAGAGACAGAGATGCGTGGCCAAGACTGTCTAACCTCACCATGGATGAAATTAAGGCTTTACAAGTTTCCCACTGTCAGTCAAAAGCAATGGAACAAGGTAGAATGTCCTTGGTTTGGGGAGAGCTCTTCTTGGGGAGGGGTTTCTTCGACACCCGGTGGCAGGGGTATCTTAGAGCCTTACACGTAGTCATACTTGGTAGGATGAGATTGATCATCTTCCTCTGTGCGGGCAGCACCCCCATCATAGATCTTCTTGTTTCTGATGTTGGACCCAAAGCCAGTGCTGGCCTTGTAGCCTCCAGGCCTGTAGGCAACATTTTGGCCAGAGGCATGGTAAGACACGGCTTTGAAGCTGAAAGCAAAAGAAACAATCATTGAACACCATGAGTGTCTTTAGTGTTCATAGAGATATGTTAGTCTTAGTCTGGCTAGGATATGTAGTCACTGTGTTCTTGGAGACATAAGCTGTCTGCGGTGGACCATGATTTCCTGCTTTTAAAGGAGACTTAGAGGTTGATGAAGAAATTTAAAGGAAGAGAGGGGTGACCCAAGGAGGGTGATGGGATAATGTGACATGAAAGCGGAAGTGGGGGGCTATGGGAGGGAAGGGAGGGGCAATGGGGAACATGTGGGATGATGAGATAAATAAAGACAAAATTGGACACATGGATAAAAATCTCATAATGAAACCTGTTATGTTTCATGCATACTTAATTATTTGCTTGTTCTTGTTCCTTCCCCCAGCCCCCCCAACCACGCTTTTTTTTGTTTTGGAAGCAGTATCTCACGTGGTTCAGGTTGGGCCTCTAACTTGCTGTGTAGCTGAGGTTGACCTTGAACTGATTCCCACTGTCTCCACCTCCTCGGGGCTGGCATTACAAGTATCTACCTCCTTGACTTTTTTTTTGTGTGTTTAATTCTAACCTAAAAGATCAATAAAAATTCTGTCTTTCTGTCTGTCTGTGTAATACATGTGCATATTAGAGCTGTAATGAGATGGTTGCTATTGACCACTGAATTTTTTTAATTAAGATGAAGGTGACAATTGTCCAGTGGGATTTTGTTTTGATGAAGAATCACAGAGTCTGTCAGCTGGAATCTACAGATGTGCAACTTCTAATTTGTTTGTTCCATGGGCAAGATATCAGAGGCTACTGTGGTTGAGTATGCGTTCTACAAAATTCACAGGAAAATTTAATTCCCAGTGTGATGGTGTTAAGAGATGAGCCTTTGGGGCAGTGGTGACACATGACCTTTAATCTCAGCTCTTGGGAGGCAGAGGCAGGCAGATCTCTGAGTTAGAGGCCAGATTGGTCTACAGAGGTACTTCCAGGACAGCCAGGGCTACACAGAGAAACCCTGTCTTGAAAAGCAAAAACAAACAAACAAAAACCAAACATGGATAGGGCTTTGGAGACATGATTAAGCAGTCATGAGAATGGCCGAAAAGATTGCTTCCTTGCCTTCCTCTTCTTTTTTCCATGTGGGCAACCTTCCTCTCCTGCATAGAATGGAGCATCCCTCACTATGAAGGATTTGCTCCAAAGTACCCACAGCCCTGATATCCAGAAAGCCTGCTCTTAATGTTTACAAAGGATCTTGGATCGGTAGAGCCAGATTGTATGGTGGTTCTACCACTCATGGGCCCTGTGCATACAGCAAGTCTTTCTGTTCTCCCGGCCTCTGACAGCACATTAGGACTGTGCTGTCATAGAATGCAGGAGGATGCCATCTTGGCATCTCAGCAGCAGAGACTGGGCTCTCACTAGGTACCAATCCCAATGTCTTCATCTTGGACTTCCCAGCTCTAGAGCTGTGGTAAATATATTTTTATTGTTCCTAAATTAACTGTCATAGGGTGTTGTGCTATAACAGTCCTAATGTGCTGTCAGAGGCCGGGAGAACAGAAAGACTTGCTGTATGCACAGGGCCCATGAGTGGTAGAACCACCATACAATCTGGCTCTACTGATCCAAGATCCTTTGTAAACATTAAGAGCAGGCTTTCTGGATATCAGGGCTGTGGGTACTTTGGAGCAAATCCTTCGTAGTGAGGGATGCTCCCATGCATTGCTGGATGTCCACCCTGGGCATATATCTACCCACTAGAAACCAGATTCATTTTCCCCTACCATCAACAAAGCAATCAAGTATTTTCAGGTGCTGCCAAATATCTCTGCAGGTGGTAGATATGCAAAACTCTCTTCCAGGGAAGGATTACAGTTAGGAATCATTGGAGCCAGAAGGAACTTAGAGGGATCGCGCCTACCCCACCCCTAATTTCAAAGAGGATCCATCTTAAACACTCCAAGTGGAATCCTGTTCTATTCTTCCAATTCCCCGTAAAGGAGGAAGTTCAAGGAACTGGTAGCCGATATCATTCTCCCATGTATATGGATCAGCTATCCTGTCCATAAAGTATGCATCAGGCAAAATTCTAGCTGCAGTGGGAGGCAGGACTCACTTGCTGTCATCCGGTGTCAGACCACGGCAGGCAATGCACATCATCACGCCCCCAATTAGTGTGAGGCCTCCAGCGATCCAGCCCACGAATAGAGCCGCACCAAAGGTGTACCTGAAGAGGGAGATGTCGTGAATACAGCTGACTAAACCCTCCCCATTGCTTCCAGCCATTCCGTCCCCCTTGTTCTCCTTTGGTCCCTCCTTCTCTCTCTCCTGATCAAGGAGTGAGCCTGCAAGGCTTGAAAAGAGAAATTTAAGAGTGATGGAGACAGCCTCAAGTTGTTTCTGAGGGAGTTTTGGTATCCTGAGTTTTTATAGTGGACCTTGTCTCAGGTAGCATTATATTGTGACTCTAAAGGCCCAGGTATTAAAGGCCTGATATCCAAGGTAGTCCTACTGGGAGATGGTGGACTTTGAGGAGTTGTGACCCATGAGGAGCTTTAGATAACTGAGCATGTGCTTTCAAAGGATATGATACTCCTGGTATTAAAATTGAGAAAGTCCCAGGCAATCAGTAAAGACACTATCGGAGAGACCTGAAACAGAATGTTGACAGCTTATATGATCATGTTCCTCCTCATTCTTGTAACCAAGCAGAAACACAAATGAGCCCTGGGTTTCCAGAGTCAGATCATAACAATTGTACCATCTTGATATCCTGTCTGTATCACTTGTTGGGTAACTGGAGAAATACCAGGCTCTGCTATGTAGAGAGTACTTATACCACCCTCTGGAAACAAGACTGGTGCAGGAAGTTCTTCTGTATATGTGTTGCTTTTTATTGGTTAATGAATAAAGAAACGGCTTTGAGCCAATAGCAGGGCAGAATAGAGCTAGGTGGGGGAAAACTAAACTGAATGCTGGGAGAAAGGAGACGGAGTCAAGGATATGCCATGTAGCCACGAGAGGGGAATGATGCAAGCCTCTAGTTGGAACCTTGCCAGTAGGCCATAAACCTCATGGTAAAATATAAAATAATAGAAATGGGTTAACAAAAGATATAAAAGCTAGCCAGCAAAACACTTAAGAGATTGGCTAAACAGTGATTTAATTAATTACAGTTTCTGTGTTGTTATTTCAGGTCTGAGCTGCCAGAACGAACAAGCGGCCTCCTTACAACACAAAACCTTCCTTCTTAGGGGTTTTGTTGGTGCTTATTGCTGAGGGACATCAATGTGATACTTGGGCTAAACAAATATAGGTATTGATAATGCTTTTCCACTAAACTTCCCTCCCCCCTTGGGGATGGAGAGATGGCTCAGTGGTTAAGAGCACTGACTGCTTTTCCAGAGGACCTGGGTTCAATTCCCAGCACCCACATGGCAGCTCAGAACAGTCTGCAATTCCAGACCCAGAGGCTATGACACCCTCTTCAGGCCTCCTCAGGCATGGCACGTATGTGGTATATAGACATACAAGCAGGCAAATAGTCACACACACAGAATAGAAAGAAATAAAATCTAAAAAATAATAAAAAAAAGCCCTGTTTCTTTCAGGCATCAAATTATAGAGAGGTTTCACCTCCACCTCCTAGACCTCCATGAGACAGGGAGCTTGGCTGTATCTCTTGCACCCTGGTCTCTGCCTGGGCCACAGCAGGTGTTCCATACATTCACTGGATGAGCTAATGAGCGAGAGGAAAAGGCAACAGCACTGGGAGGAGCCAGCCCTTCTCCTACCCGTATCTGACTCGACTCCTTTCTATTGGAGTTTTTCCCCTGCTCCTGTCCCGCTTCCATTATGGACTGTGGGTCTAAGTTGATGCTCATTTACATCTTGGGTTAACCATGCCTGTCGTATTGCCACCACAATGGGGCCCGTGTAAGAACGCTAGATAAATATCGTGAGCTGTCACTGTATTTCAGTGCAAATGCCGGATCAGCCTCAAGTCATATCAGCAACGGTATTTCATGGAAATGAAGTTCATGAATGTGCCGATCATTGTTGAGTTATGATACAGTGTGGTTGTCTCTGATAAATGTTTGCTATTTCAGGCCATGACAGGCACATTAGGCACAGAGTTTAATCGTCCTCTTACACTATTCTCTGTGGATCACCAGGAAGCCAAGTAGGGGGTTACCTCGTCTGAACGGTCTGCACCATCCCGCCCATGCCGCTGTACATGTTGGCTGTGGACATCCAGAAGTTGGTAACCAGCATGTTGGCAAACACGGACACACCAATAATTGCACAGATTCCTGTGGGAAAAGAACAAGGACCAGGTTAAGGGGTCACAATATATCTGAGGCATTTTACGTTGAAATGAGTTCAGATAAAAAGGCTGTAAGATACTCTCTATTCTTGTAATAGAATAATCAACCAACCACTGACTGTTGAATTAAAAAGTTTTGCTTACTAGACAATAGGCAAAGTGCATCTCACACTTAATTCTAGAAGGATTCCTGTATGTGCAGTGCACATAGAAAGAGATGTTTTCACACACCTCAGGACCAAGGGTAAATAAACCAAGCATCTGGGGACGACTCTTTAGTTACTGGCAAGAGTTTCCCCATTAAAACCACTTCCTAGTGGTTTTTAAGGGCCCACTCACATGCTTGCCTTAGGGTTGACTTTCCTCTATTGCAGTGTTGGTAGCAGCTAAGTGGGACCTTAGAAATGGTTACAGTTCTGTGGAGGGTAATTTTGCTTCCACGCACTCAGACTGTAAATCCAGTGTGAAATACTCTGAGCTGTGTTTAATAGTGGGAAGGGGTCACTTTTCTTGAATCAGAACAATTTGTTCTAGCATTTGCGGGTTCATGCTTGAGAGCGGGAGTCTGTGTTTACCTGAGATGATGAACAGGATCCCCGAGGTCAGGGTCATCTTGGCCTTGGCAGAATCATCCATGCTGCCAATCCGAATGCACTTCAGGGCAAAGATGGACACTAGGATCCCGAAGACGCCCAGGACAATGCCCACAATCATGAGAGCTCGTACCGCTTGCAACATGGCTGTAGAAGAAGAGGCCCAACACAGGCAGACAAATAACAGCATCAGTTAGGTTTTATGTTGGTAAAACACAACAATTCCAATTAACCAATGCTGAACCTTTGAGGACTGGCAAGACCACAAACTGAGCTTTGACACTGTGCAAAAACATGGAATTGTGGGGAATGCAAAAAGGCATCTCTTGTATCCCTCCGAGTGATGAAGGGTGTGCACACAGATGTCCAGAGAAAGGGAGTTATGGACAGGTGAGGTTGAGAGAACTCTGGGTACTTATTACTTCAAAACTTGATAAACTGGGCCTAGAAAGGGAATGCAATTCTCTAAAGTGATCATCAAATTATCTATTGAGCTGACAGGAAAGTCAAGTAAACTGCACATCATTCTGCTTGTCTTTGCATAGGAATTGAAACCTCCATGCAACAGATACAAACTGTAGGGAAAGGCTGGCGGTGGTGGCGAACACCTTTAATCCCAGCACGTGAGAGACAGGCAGATGGATCTCTGTTAGTTCAAGGCCAGCCTGGTTTACAGAGTGAGTTCCAGGACAGGTTCCAAAGCTACAAAGAAACCCTGTCTCCAAACAAAACAAAACAACAAACCAGGGGCTGGAGAGATGGCTCAGTGGTTAAGAGCATTGCCTGCTCTTCCAAAGGTCCTGAGTTCAATTCCCGGCAACCACATGGTGGCTCACAACCATCTGTAATGGGGTCTGGTGCTCTCTTCTGGCATGCAGACATACACACAGACAGAATATTGTATACATAATAAATAAATAAATATTAAAAAAAAAACAACAAACCAACCAACCAACCCCCAAAAACCAAAATCCAAAAGAAAACAAAAAACCAAAAACCAAACAAAAACCAAAACCAACCAACCAACCAACCAACCAACCAACCAACCAACCAAAACACCCTCAACTCCCCAAACAAAAACAAACAAACAACCCTCCCAAAACAACCTAAACTATAGGAAAACTCAGCACTAAGTCTGGCATGAAGAAATGAAGGTACTGAGACTATACCAGAAGTACTCTGTATTTTTCCTTTTTCAAAGGTAATCAATCACTAAGGTCATGGGTGGACTGTACGTTTCTAATTATAATGATCAGCATGTTAATATTAAGCCTTTCAATAGTTTATCAATAAGAAGATGGTGGGAAGAGGGAGGCTGGACCTAGTGGCATCAGGGAGGGCTAAAAGCACAGATAAAGGCAGATACACAGGATCGTGCCAGCAATGAACAGAGGCGCCAAACGCACTTACTCCCGATACAATAGTATAAAGAGTATGGGGGGCGGAGTCTGAGAGGAGGGCTCAGTCCTTAGTGATGGCAGTAGGTCTTATCAAGGCGTCACGGAAGTCTGGCTGTGCCTTTTGGCCCTTTCTTCCCTTTCACGATGAGAGAACACAGCAAAAGCTAACATCTCCATCACCATGACTTGGATTTTCCAGCTTCCAGAGCTGTGAGAAATAAGCTGGGGGGTTGTTGTTCATCAGCTTCCCCCTCTAAGGGACTTTTGTTATAGTATTTCGTCAGCCTTTCAGGTGAGACCCAGCTATATCTCTAGCGATGTGCCTCCCCGCCAAGAAGCGATGTTGTACCCTGACAAGACCAGCCCCTGGGATGCCACATTGTGGTAGTTGGTCCTTCCATTGAGACCAGGAGCACTCCAGCTGCAAGATGAACAAGGATTCTGGTTCTTTTGGGAGAAATAATAATAATTTAGGGTTCCATTGTGTATCCCTGGCTGGAACTCACTTTGTAGACCAGGCTGGCCTTGAACTCAGAGATTTATCTGCTTCTGCCTCCCAAGTGCTGGGATTAAAGGCATGTGCCACCACTGCCCAGCATATTCTGGTTCTTAAGTCTCAGCTTGGCTCCTTGAGAAACCAGGTGGCCTCATTTTAATCCAGGTTCTAGGTCCCCATGAGTTCTATAGTCAGGGGCTCACCTCCCTGTGGCATCTTCTTCACATATGTGATGTTGTATAAACACTGGAATGTTTGTTCTTAAAGTCAAAGGCATGCTGTGCTCCCCCACCCCTTTCGGAGGGAGGGAAACAGCTTGTTTAAAAACCCTGAGGCGCTGCCAGACTCAAGATCAACTTTATGATTAATGGGATCATTCATCTTTTAGGACCAGGTTTCCCCTCAGCATCTGGAAAGAGGCCAGCTGGTTCACATGACTGTGAGCGTTAGATCCATGAGAAATCATTCAGTTAAGGGCAAAAAGAAATGCGCAGGACAACTTCAGAAAAGATACTTCAGGATAGTCATATGTTTTCCCTTGTAGATTTTTGGGTTCAATGCAGGTTGGTTGGAACCCCTCTCTCCGTGTCTATACATGTGGTTGATGGGAAGTCTCCAGTTCTCCAGTGGTGGCGGATTTTACACAGTGATGCAGAAAGGGGAACCGAAACTTCTCATATGGAAATCCCCGAGATTCTTAGTGCCTGCTGTGGAGCTGAGAAACACGGGAGGACCCGGGACACGGATGTGATAGGGATGGGGAAGGGAAGAACAGCACCTTCAGTTATCTTTACTTCAGATATTTTGGGTGGCGTAGGCACGATGATTAAACAGTGCCCACAACCAGCTCTTGTGACTAGGCTGCCTGGCTCTTCACATCCATGCCATCCAGTGTGGTGTTTTAGAGGTGGGGAGAATGAAGCGAGGAGATGTGAGGGACCAAGATCTCCCGCACACACCTGCCCCTGACCCTAGGACTCACCATTGTCCCAGACGTGGTTCAAATGTTTGCAAACACATTAAGCAAGACTGTCTGACTGTGATGTCTTCACGGTGGCAGTGGCAGCAGCACGAGGCTGGCAGAAGCTTGCTTTCCCTCTGCTTTGCTTGCCGGCTGAGCTTTGCTTTGCTGCTCCTCTGTCTCCAGGAAGCAGGGGAAGCATCACTCAGACCACCCTCTGCGTAAATGGGATACTCTATGTGCTCAGTTAAGTTTGCTAGGAAAGGGACGTGGATGATGTGTCCTTTATGTTTGCTGTACTCACATCCAGACCCCTCTCTCATGAAGTCTCAAAAACCCGTTCCTAGCTGGAAGGAGAAACAGGCCAGGCAGGAGGAAAGGAAGTTTAGAAAAGCCATTCAGACTTGTGGCCATCTTCTATGTGATTTTGGCCATATCCCATTTCCTTCCTCTCGGACTTTCTTGTAAGAATAAATCTGTTTATATTTCCCTGTAGGAGAGCCTAGGGACAGCCCAACCTATGGCCACCCCCTTTACTTCAGGGCACTGCATGCTGCTTGGACTGGACACAGAGAGAGGCAATCAGTTGTTAGGTGCACAGAGCTGGTGACATGTAGTGATGTCACCATCGCCTCTTCTCTCCCTGTCCTGCCTGTAGGAGACTCCACACAGCTGGAGTTGAATTAAATTGTTCTATGACTGTAAGTACCAAATGGACATGAAAAAGTTTCCTTTGAGATTAAGTGAAGATTTTGCAAGAAAAGAGCTTGCACTAAGGAAGAATTTAGTAGCTTTTGGTGATTGTAGGGTGATTGTATGGTGCCTGTCCTGATTCCCTCTGAACACTTCCAGGCTTATTTCTCTTGTGTTCTAGGTCAAAATGAAGCCACCACCCACACTGTTTCTCTACTGCCCCCACATTGTCTCTATTTCATGCACCACCAAAGAGTCTTCTCTCCTCTTCCCTGGGTTCTTGTTCACACAGCTGTTTCAGATGACAAGTGCTGCTGTGTGTTCTCGTTGGTAAATGTTGATTTATCGACATAAGTGTCTGCAGACCCCTTCCACTTCCTGTTTGGAAACCCTGTCTCCTTCTGTTGTTGCCTTTAGAGGATCTTCCCGCCCATCCCTTTAGTCAGCCAGATCTCAGTCCTGGGAGTCTGGCAGCTGTAATGTGCAGTCATCCTGCTGAAGAGACGGGGGCTCCTCAGCTCCACACTGCATTCCATGGCCACTGCCAAGCTGTGGTTCTCTTGGTTTTCAGGGGAATCCTGTTCCTATAACCCAGATGGGTGGGGGAATCTGTGTAACAACTGGGAATTCCCCTGCCCCAACATTCATTCCCATGGTGGTTCAGCCTAGCCCGAGAGTCAGTATAGAATAGCAACCCCACGCCATTCCTCTACACTGTTGCCTGTGTGGGCAACGCAGTGCAGTGTGGGAGATGCAGACAGGCAGCTCAGGGTCCTCTGGCCATGAACTTAGCAACAGAGAGAAGACCAACTGCACCCAGCAGCACTAAGCACATTGATATGGGACCTTCGCAGTTCTTGGGATGCGGTTTCCGCCTGCGCCCTGCGTCCTAAAACTCTTCTAGTGTAGCCCGGGACCTCTTCTCCCTCTGAGCGTTTGAAACACTTCAGCGCTGCTTTATGGCGGTAACCGAGTTTCCTATCTGAAAGCTGCCTGTCTGGCCTGACATGGAATAAGGGGGCTGGCACGCTTCCCTTTCTTCCATCTAAGTTTCTGGTGAAGAAATTTGTGCCGTTCCTCCATGACCGTGTTTACATTCATCTGATATTAAGTCCTGAGGAATTTTTTTTTCTTCACAGAAACTCCTTAAACCCTCCCCTCTTCCAGATTCCTGGCCACTCCTATCAAATGTCTGCCCTCTGGAAACTATACTCTTGTATCAGACAACACATTACACGCAGAGGAATTTAGCAACATTTGGTGGGAAAACTGAGCATAAATCAATAGCATGACCTCTCTTGCACTCCTATTAGTTTTGACCATTGTGCAGCTGAGGAATTACCTGCTTTGCAGAACTGAAATCAGCATGGTAGGGAGGTTAGGGACGCAGCTCAGTGGAGAGCAGTTGCCTAGCAAGCACAAAGCCCTGGACCTACGTTCTGTGTCCAATAAAGCAAGAACCACAAGCAACTAACAAACGAAATGATGGCAAATAAACAAAGGGGGTGAGTGGGAAGTCAACATGGGGGGCAGATTGCAGCCTGGACAGTTCTTACTCAAAGGGCCTATGCAGCTGAGCTGATGGGTGCTGAGCTGATGGGTGCTGAGCTGATGGGTGCTGAGCTGATCAGTGCTTACCAAATAGCTGTAAGCCCCCACATCTCTCCCCTTCCGGAGCCATGTGTCTAGTGCTGGCCGGTGCTTTCTGAGTGGAGGTGACAAGTGTCATTTCCAGGCTGACGTGTTTAAGAGCCCCTTTGCTCCCTTTAGGGCTTTCTTTTGATTCAGCTTCTAGGAATAGCCTGTGTATAATCTTTCTTTCCCGTGGACTTCATGTGGGCAGGTAAGAAACGTACGTTGTGTGATGCCACTGAACTGAGTAGTGTGGCTGTTGCTGCAGCCGGCGTTAACTACCCTGACTAACTGCTCCTGATGCCCTCATCAGACTGTACAGTAAGCAGGCAGAATTTTATCGATGACAAGCCTGGGTGACCATTTGACAAGGAGGGGACCCAGGTCATTTTCTACACATGGAAACACAACAGCAAAAACCAAGCACAGAGGCAAAACCAAACCTCTGTTTTTTGGAAGAGGAAACTTCTTATCTGTATAATTTTGTGTGTACAAATGGCTTGCATAAACACTGAAATAAGGTTTCACTCTTCGGTTCAACCTACTCTATCAACCATGTGCCGTATAGCCTCCCTTCCAGGCCCCATGTTCAGAACTGGGAGACTCTCGGTCTGTGTTAGCACAGAGCAGAATTAGACAAATGTATAAATAATGACGTTAATAATCTAAAGTTCAGACTCAGATTCCCTTCCCGCGGAATAATTATTTCTTCCTGGTGTTGCTAACACCCATGTAAAAAGCCCACCAAATCCACTGCCTTTTCGTTGACATTTTGATATCAGACAATTTGATATCAGACAAGATGCTAATGTCTCCTGAAATGGAGATTTACAGGCACCCACAAGGCCAGTTTTGCACTGTGTACCCTGAGATCTGCAGGAAATACTTCTCAGATTCATGAACAGTGTCAAAGGGGACTGGGGAGCTCAATGCTATGAGCATGCGCTTGGGCTATCTGGTTTGTGGGATCCTAGCAAATTTCAAGATGTGGGAAAGTTTCAGATAAGATTTGTGGGAAGGGCAGGTGCAGGGGGTGAGAGGGAATATCCTGGGTAGCCTGGGCCAGAGAACACTGAGAGGAGAGGGAAAAAATGGGGTGGGGCAGCAGCCTTAGGAAGAGAGCAGGAGAGGAAGGGTGTGTGTGTGTGTGTGTGTGTGTGTGTGTGTGTGTGTGTGTAAAGGCTCCCAGGTTGGACTGTCATGTCTACTCACTAATCAAGCAGGGAATAGAGGATCATGGGAACTGCCTGGGCTTTGATACCTGTAGGAGATGGAGGAGTGGGAACTGGTGTTGGAAGGATCACCCCAACCTGGTGCTGTGCTCAAAGGAGCAAGGGATCAAGGGCAAAGGATAGAAACCAGACTGAGGAAGCCGATGCGCTTGTCTGGAAGTGGTGGGAAAATGTAGTCTTTTGATTTGCTTGTCAGTGAGCAGGAGGGAGGCAGAACTTGACAATGGTTAGAAATGAGAAACCATTTTCCAGGGAAGGAGGACGGGAGCTCAGGTTAGCAGGAGAGGGGAAAGATGTGAGGTGCGGGGTAGATCCTGGGCAGGACGGCAAAGGGCTTCCAGAGCCTGGGTGGAAGGTATGTTTGTGGAACTATAGGAGACAGAGGAGAGATTTTCAGGGGGTCAAAGGGAAGGATTCCACACGGGACGGCAGTGAAGGGTCTGAGTGGGGCTGAGCCGTATGAGAGCGGATGGAGCTGTTCGGAAGGTTCAAAGCAGAACCTGCCATAGAGAGAGAGTATCAGAGTGCTTGGTGGATGCTAGAAAGAGGGGACTGAGTACAGGACAGATGCTTTGGGGAGATGTGACTAAGATCACTGTCTTTTTTTTTTTTTTATCTCCATCTAATAATTAACATGGGTGTGGCTAACCAGGTAGCAACCCAGGTTTTGCATGGCTTCCCCATGACCTGTCCTTTGCACATAGCACAATCTCTCAGCCTGTTTTCCTCCCCTCTAGCTATTTCTCCCTAAGCTGGTGGACTGTGCTAACTCTGCAGTGGGTGGTTTCCCAAAACAGAGCACACCCTAACCCTTGGCCTCTATACTCCTTTCTCAAAAGGAAGATGAACTCGTTGAATTGCTTCTTTACAATTCTACCCCAAGGGCTCCACAACCTCTTTACAACGTGTAAATTTGTCTCATCTCTCTCTCTACAAGGCGCTTGCTTTGGAGAATCAAAGCCACCTCGATACCTTTTGCGCGCTGCTTTTGTTAAGTACAAACTGAGTTCGTATACTGTCAAGAATGCAAAGTCCCTATGATGCTTGGAATAATTATCTGTATTAGAAGCAAATTTCAACTTCGTCTTCAAAGGTGAAACGGTGTCATACATTTGCATTCTACATTGTTATGATATTATATTCTGACAACTCTAACTTTTAGGGCAAGTATACCAGATATTTTCATCACAAATGCAGAAAAAGAAAATCGTAATTTAATAATAATGGTAATGTTTTTACACCTCACAAGGTCCCCAATTTTTTTTTAAAAACTTCAATCGAATTGAAAATACAGTTGAAGTCACTCTCGATAAATATCTCTGTCTATAACAAAATAACCACTCCCTTTCCTATTCTCATGCATATGCAGGCAGAAGCAAGTCTCCTGCTTGTGGAATGGAAGCCAGCCATTTATGTTGTCCTTATGTAACAAGGTTCGAATTAGCCATCACCAGCATGTACTTACATTAGAGCCATTTTCTTGGCTGGCATATGAATTCTCCCACCTTCTGTGCGGCTATTGCCTGCTTTGATGCAGGGCCAACTGCTCTTATTCACACCTTTTATTGGGAGCCAGGGCTGCCAGGGTCATGCCTGAGGCAGGACTCAGTCCTGGGAGTCCTTGAGGGTGCACAGGCCCTCTGCCTCTCCTGTCCCTCTCTCACCTCACCTACCTGGAAGGCCCAGGATGGTGAAGTATGGCCGGCACTCGGTGAACCCTGAGCTCTGCTGCACGCAGCTCCTCCAGAGCCCTTCATACTGGAACACAGAGGTGACTGGGTTGTCGTACAGGTCCTGGGTGCTCCACATATCCATCCCGGTGGCGGCGATGCAGCCGGCCAGGCCCAGGAGGGACAAGAGGAGCCCCACCACCTGGCACGTGGTGGTGGCCATGGCTTTAGCTGCTGGTCCTAGGCCTCCAGGAGCAAGCCTCCACCCTCCTGCTGGGAAGGTGTGCGGCCTGGCTGGCCGCAGGGAGGTCTCCTAATCAGAAGGTCCCCTCAGCGCTGTGTTTGCTCATACTGTTTTCCTTAGATAGTTCAGTTTCACTCCTGCTTCAAGGGCATATTTTTTTTTTTTTCATTTGTAAGGGAAGCGGCCCCAAGAGGCACTTGTCTGGTTAAGCTTCACAGCCAGGGTGGTTGGAACGTCAAGCAGGCTGAGTGGACCGAAGGACTCTCCTCTCGACCAGGCCCTACCGGCTCTGCCTCTGCCCAGAATGCACCATGTAGGGGAAAAGGAAGTTTGTTCCATCCAGTGAGAGCGTGAGGAGAGACCACTAAGGCTGACCTGAATTATAATAAAACTCCCTGGGATGCGCCCATTCGGCTCTATCGTAAGTCAGATGGTCGTACATTTCTCCTTGCACTCCCGCGTCACCTTTCTCTTATGGTCTCAGATGGAAAGGGCAGCTGATATTATTTTATTTGTGAAGTGGAGAGTTCCAATCTAGCTCTCTCCCTCTCTCTCAACAGGAAGTCAGATTCTAGAGGCGCACCCTTGATCCATGGGTATCGGGACGGCCCAAAGAGCCGGATTCCAGTTGACTCTTGCTGTCTCTCATAGAATAGGAACTATACAAATACCACACAGACAGAGAGGTTACTGTGAAGGCTGAAAGAAGGAACAGGGCTGGCCTGAATTTCTGACCTGGTCACTGAGAGGCTGAGGAACTGCTTCCCACACTATCCCTGTGTGGGAAGCTCTGTGTGTTTAGTGATTTGGCCTTGGTAGGTCAGTTCCTTCATTTGTAGCCTGATAGGGAACTGTAAGGAGCATTCTAGAGCTTTTCTGATCTCACTAGTTTCCATGTGTTGTAGAAAAGTTTATACTACAGTTGGTGAATTTCTCAAAAGTTGTATGCTCAACTAGAGAAAAGTCTGGCTGAAGGGGTCAGAGCTGGGTTTTTGTTCTATGGCTACATTTTGTTAGAGAATTTATCAGCCTGTGGCCTCTGAATGCCTGGCCTCTGAATTCAGAGACGTTTCAATTAGAACTTCTCAGGGTCCTGAAATACATACACACAAACATACAAACACACACACACACACAGCACGCACACACGCTCACATTCTCACATTCCTGCCCCCAATCTCTAGCCATGGCAAGTTCTCAAGGAAGCCAGTCCATATTTCAATGGTATCTTGACTGTTCTCAACTCCCCCTGCGCCTAAGGCTTTATTCTTATTAAAACAAAAATGATTAATGTGGGCGGTCTTCCCCTAATGTGAACGGAGGCAACCCTGCTCTTGATTGCACACCACTTTCTGTGGTCCATATTTGTAGAGAATGAAACATCAGAAAAATTCAAATGAGGGCGTAAGCCAGACTTACATGACAAATGAGACGTACACTGATGGCTGAGTGTCTCTGGGCTGAGCCCCTAGACCAAGTCAACTGTAAATGATACCGGTTTCTGCTGGCGGACTGAGACTGAACCATTGGATTGAAGGGTACTGGTGGAATGGTTCCAAAATTACTCTGGCCTTGCTTCTGGGGGGCATTGCCAACCGTGGTTCCACCAGAGGGCGTGTTTGTCATTCCCACAAAGCTCCATGAGTTTGCTTTTTCAGCTAACTGGTTTATCACTTATGCATTCTAAACATTCGTTGTAATGCCATCCAAACAATAAGTTGAAAACAGAAAAAAAATAGATTATTTGTGGCAGTTTCTCTATGATGTTTTACAGTAAGTTTCAAAGCCAGGGGCAAAAAACTTATTTAGGTGTTATGCTTGCTTTCTAGGTGGAAATGCGGCAATGAAAATTTTTTTTTGAAAAAGAAAAGATTAAAGTTAAGTGGTAAACTAAAGCTAACTCTACCTACACGGAATTCTGAATGAAAAAAGAGAAATTACGTATCGACACACTTTAGAGGATAGGCTTAAAACACACAGCAGGTGGATTTCTCACTTCGAGGGCGGTTTCTGTGCTCCAAACAGTGACCGCTGCTCTAGCCGTCGCTGGCCTGAGGAGGAACACCGGATTTCTTGTTTGTGGCAACAGGTGTTGGTAAAGAGGATTCATATCCCTGTGTTAACTCCTGGCCTGATTCTGTTTGCAGCAATAGCTTTGGTACAACTTCGTTTAATAACCTCTAGAATTGAGCAAGATGTTTCGCTGGCGTCCTCAGGGAAATCACCCCATGTTCAGCGTAAACACGCTCCGTGCCACTTCAGCCTCCGTGTTTCCAGGAACTGGTGCCATTTTACCCACACTAGAGAAATTATCCTTTCAGTTTTCTGAACTTTTTCAGCTACAACAGGGACTGAGTAATTTGGCAAGAATGGTGATCCAAGGAGCAATGAAAATATTATAGGTAGGTATTAGTTGAACTTGCTAGAAGAATACTGGACACATTTATTAATTTCTGAAAGCTACCATAGTGAATATTCCTCCTCATCTTTTCTAAAAGTGTTTGGTGTTTGTAATAGAAGATTTGGAGGCATTTTAACAAATCCCTCATATCTAAACTCTAGACAAACTATTTCCACCCATATAGATAAACTATAAACATACGTTCTTCTTCTCAGTCCTCTGCATGGGCAACTTTACATGATCAACTATATATTTGATAATTTGGTCTTCCCACTTGTGTTTGTGCCATCAAAACTCTTGCAAGAATAACAGGTTGCTAGTAGTTTATATATCTATAGTAAGTTCATATAAAATTTCTGTTCTCATACACTTAGATTTATCTTTCTCTAATTTTCTTTTATGTAAAAGCACTGTTTTTATATAAATATCTATCATTTAATGTGTGACTTTTTGCCAGCATTTCTGGTTACATTTTAAGATAGATTCACAGGAGAACTTAATTGCCCAAGAGTGTGAAGTATTTGCGTAGTATCTCCTTTATGAGAAATGACATTTTCCCCTTAAAGTTTATTCCCAGCGTCAGTGTCTAAAAGGATTGTTCTAGGGGTTAGAAAGATGATTCTCTGGTTAAGAGCACTGACTACTCTTTCAGAGGGCCAGGGTTCAATTCCCAACACCCACATGGTGGTTCACAACTGTGTATAACTCCAGTTTCGGGGGATCTGATGCCCTGTTTTGGCCTCAGAGGTCACTACAAGCACAAAGTGTAGGCATATATGCAGAAAAACATCCACATACATAAAGTAAAACCAAAGTGGAAAATGTAGTTCTATATCCTCACCCAGATTGTGCAATTAATAAGTAATACATAACCATTTGCTTTAACGTATATTTCTTTGCCCACTGAGTTTTACTGCTTCCAAGTTTGTTTTACTTTTTCTTTTTATTATTGTGGGTTTGGTGTGTGTGTGTGTGTGTGTGTGTGTGTGTGTGTGTGTGTGCACAGTGCCCTCTGGTGGTCAGAGGACAACTTTCAGGAGTCAGTGTCAGTTCTCTCCTTCCAGTTTGAGACCCTGGGATTGAACTCAGGTCAACAGTACCTGCTTTTTAACCTCCTGCCCCCCAGTTATGCTGCTGGCCCTGAGGCCTTGAAAAACCTTAAAACTCATGGGCTGGGTGCTAAGGAGCACACCTTTAAGTGTGTGTGTGTGTGTGTGGGGGGGGGTAGAGGCAGGTGTGCTGTGAGTTCAAGACCAGCATGGTTTACAAAGAAAGCAAGTTCTAAGCCAGTCAGAGTCACACAGTGAAACCTGTTTCAAAAAAAAAAATTCACAACAAAATACTCATGAAATATTTTTTTTCCTTCTTGACCTGGCAGCCTGCACTGTTCATTAATCTATTCGCTAGCACATCTTTTACCATTATTTGTGTGAACTATTTGTTAATTGTGTAGTAATACATTGCAGCAAGTACAACAGACATGCTTTTGATTGGTTATTGGGTTTTTAACTTCATTTATAGTTTTGAAAAAATGCAACGTATTCCATTTTATGGGTTTTCCAGAATCTGGCACATAAAATGTGCTCAATGAGTTTTTGTTGAATAATGTAATCAAATGAATTTATTTTTCCTTTATGTTTTCCAACATTGTTTTCATCCTTAGAGAAATATTTTCCATGTAGGAGGTAAAAACATTATAAATTATTTTGTAATTAAAAATATTTACAAAGTAGTTAATGTATTTTTTTTCTTCCCATAAAGTCCCTCAATAATTTCTGCAGCATTTTTTGAATGGCCTTCCTTTTCCCCAGTGTTCTGTAAAACCTCCTGCACCTTACAGTAAACTCACATATGTGGCTTTCTGATTTTAGGTGTTCTTCCATTAATTTGTTTTTCCTTGTGGCAAAATACAACTTTAGTTATCAAAGTGTTAAAACTGGGCTGAACATCTGTTAGAGTTAGGCCTTCTCTTCATTATTCTTAAACAAAGCAGTCAAACATTTCTCATTTGCTTCTTATTGATACGCGCTGTCAAGTATTCCTAGCCTTTGATTAGAATTCCTGTATTGCAGAGGGGCCCAGCCCTGGGCAAAGCCAGTTTGGTGGACTCGTAACCTGCCATTTATACTACAGGGCCCCTTGACAGATTCTTTAATCACCTTGTGCCTCAGTTTCCTCAATCTGTGAAATGGAGGAAACGATAGTTCTTATCTCAGAGGATTATTGAAAATATTGAAGTATTAAGCCATTTAATGAATACGTAATAATGTAAAACATATACTAATACATATTGATTTCTTAAAATAATGCCCAGCAAGGACCTAAGCGTCCACTATTGTTACGTACTGTTAGTTGGAGGCAAAAAAAAATAAAATAGTTTTATAACATTCTCATCAGGAATCTGAAGATCTTAAGAAATGTTTCTTGGCAAAACCTCTTTTACTTTTCCATTGGACTCTTGTCAGCTGTTCACGGGTGTTACTTGCTAAGTCTTCTTGACTTTCACTGCCCTGGGCGGCCCCTCCTTCCCTAACGTTATCACACAGAGCCTGGTCCTATCCACTCTCTCACACCACACTGCCTTTTCTCAGATAGGACTTTCTCTGTCGCCTTTTGCTCCTTTCTTTCAGAAATGAATTATCTTTAATATGTCCTCATAAAACTAGCTCACTAAAATTTAATACACATGACCCAAACTTTTAAAAATGATGGCAC